ATATAACAATAATAATAATAATAATAATAATAATATATTCATCTATCCCTGGCCTTCAAGAAAGGCTAATGGAGAACGAAGGTTAGAAGTACATATTACGTGTTTTTTATTTAATGTTATTGACTCTATTACAAGGTAATATTTGTTCGTTCGTACTATTCTCAACCTAATGACGAACAGAGAGTCAATGCTTCCGCCTCCGCTAACTCTCGAACTTGAGTGAACTTCACCACGAATGCTTGGAGTGGGCTCCCTACCACTCAAGCCAGAGAAGAAGTTCATATTCAAGGTGTTTAAATAGAACGTAGAAAAGTAAAAAAAAAAACTAAGTAATTGATATATAAGAGAAAGATTTTGAACTAACATACCCCGGAGTATATAGTTAAAGTCTAAAAACGAAAAAAATAAGATGATATGAGTGTGTTTTTATTCCATTTGGTTAAAAAGCTTAAAGGGTTGTTTGTTCCTATGTGGCTGTCCCTATACTTTACTGCCATAATCATGTTAGGAGGAATTTCTTTTTTTCCTTTATCTTTTTTTTTCTTTTTCTAAAAGAGATCAGAAAGATGCCAAAATGAAAAGACTATTTTTTAGGCCTACCAAAATAGTGTTGATATTGTAAGTCAATCGTGCACATCACCTAACGTGGCTGACTTTGTCTGCTAAAGAATTTATCCATTTCTACTTCACAAAGCAACCAATTCATGCCTTCATATTCACGCAGTAAAATATATATATATATATATATATAGAGCTCTTCTCTCATGAATCTAAAGATCAATTTATTTGGAACAAGAAAAAAACATCTCTGTGTTTTTTTTTACTTCAAGAGAGCAATTTATTTGGAACAAGAAAAAAAACCATAAACAAAATTTATAGTTTTGGAAAACTTGCATTCATTTAGTTTACTGCTTGAATTAGTTATTATTGCTACCTAAAAAAGAATTAAGAGTAAATAATCTAATTGTAGCAGTTTCATGATGTTAGTGCTCAATTTTCAAGGTCAACTTTTTGCCTCAAATGTGAAAGAATCAACACAAGTGGGGAGTAGTTGATTCTCACTTAGTGGCTGACAGTGATCCGAATTTTCCTCCAAATGTCATTAGGTAATTTGCTTATAAGAAGAAGAAGAAGAAGAAGAAGACTTGACATTTCATCCATCCCAGGCATTCATCCCATGTGAACAATTTTCTGCAGCAAACTTTGATTCATGTTAGAAACATCATCTCCCATCTCTGTCTTGTTTTTAATGCATTAAAAGAAAATAGATTCTTTGCTGGTTAAGAACAAATATAGTAATAGTTGAGCCCGTGGATCCGTTACAGGTGAGTGAATCAAGCAGTTGGGACATATAATGGACATAAGAAGTTCGTCCTCTTGTCGACACGAAAACCCGCTGCCGTACATTCACAAGGTGGGGGCCCCACCGAAAGAGAACCTCTTCAAGGAGTTCAAGAACAGGGTGAAGGAAACAATGTTCGCAGACGATCCTTTTCGGTCGTTTAAGGATCAAACCATGTCTAGGAAGTTTGTCCTGGGGTTGCAGGCTGTGTTCCCCATTCTTGATTGGGGAAGAAGCTATAGCCTTGCTAAATTCAGAGGAGACCTTATTGCTGGTCTAACCATTGCTAGCCTATGCATTCCTCAGGTATGTCATATACACTAAATGCTTGCTTGGTTCTATGATTCATTTTATATTCACATGACCAAATTGTTTTTTATTTATTTATTTTTTAAGTTAGGCTTATTGTGAATTCTTCACATTTGGTTTAACAGGACATTGGATACTCGAAGCTAGCAAACTTAGATCCTCAGTATGGCTTATGTATGTAATATTTTTTGTTTATGTTGGAATCAGTTGAATTTACTGAGAACGGTAGTGTCAAACTTGGTGTGAATCAACTATTAAAATGTTGACAATTGGGTTTTGTCAGACTCCAGCTTTGTTCCGCCATTGATCTATGCATTCATGGGAAGCTCAAGAGACATAGCCATAGGACCGGTGGCTGTTGTGTCGCTCTTGCTGGGAACTATGCTTCGGAGTGAAATTGATCCGACTAAAAATGCAAGTGATTACAGGAGGCTTGCATTTACTGCAACCTTTTTCGCTGGTGTCACGCAAGCTACCTTGGGGATTCTCAGGTGAATTTAACAGGAACATAACAAACTGACATAATGTTCTTTTTCTCAACAAAGCATTATGACTTTTTTATACGAATGAATGTAGACATGATCTATGTTCATATTCTTTCACCTTTTGATGTATCACAAGCTCTTGTTATATCTTGTTGCCAGATTGGGGTTTTTGATAGACTTCTTGTCTCATGCTGCGGTGGTTGGTTTTATGGGCGGTGCAGCCATTACAATAGCCCTCCAGCAGCTCAAGGGTTTTCTTGGTATAAAAAAGTTTACTAGGAAAACAGATATTGTCTCAGTGATGAAGTCTGTTTGGGGCTCAGCTCATCATGGAGTATGCTTTTTAACCCCTGTTTTTTTTCTTTTTACAGCCAAATATTTTGTCAAATATATCAAATAATTACCGGTATTCATATTATATTTCCACGACAAACTTGCAGTGGAATTGGGAGACCATCCTCATCGGGGCATCCTTTTTGGCTTTCCTCATACTGGCGAAGTCCATTGTAAGTACCTGTTTCTGTTTGTTTATGTGGTCGAGACGTTTTGTCCTTTGTAATGAGATTTTTTTAAAAACCATGTACCAGGGGAAGAAGAACAAGAAATTCTTTTGGGTGCCTGCAATTGCTCCATTAATATCAGTCATCCTCTCAACATTTTTTGTTTATATCACACATGCAGAAAAGAAAGGAGTTGAGATTGTAAGTCTTTATGTTTTTGCCGATTCTTCCCATCTGCTTTAATTAATTAAAATTAATTGATTAATTTTATTGTTTCCACCAGGTAAGACACATTGAGAAAGGAATCAATCCCCCATCTGCAAATGAAATTTACTTTTCTGGAGATTATGTCTTGAAAGGATTGAAGATTGGCATTGTAGCTGGCATGATTGCATTAACAGTAAGTTAAAAGTTGCCATTTAAGTGAAATACTATAACTTGAACTTAGGCCTTGTTCTTGGAGTCCTGGTAATTGGAACATAGGTCAAACATACTACGAGTATAAAGTAAAATAGATTTTAACTGGAAACTGGAATCCTGGAAGATAATGTTGAAAAGAACATGCCTTTGCTATAACTTGTATCTGGATTTCTTTGAATGCTGGCCTTCAGGAAGCTGTGGCAATCGGGAGAACATTTGCTTCCATGAAGGAGTACCAATTGGATGGAAACAAGGAAATGGTGGCACTTGGAGTGATGAACATCGTTGGCTCAATGACCTCCTGCTATGTCGCAACAGGTAGCACATATAACATGAAATATCAGGCACAAATTTTGTAAAAACACTTCAAACATAGTACAAGTATGTATAACTCAGGTAAAAATCATCCACATTGACGCATTGAACATAATATGTGTGAAGTCTGATACATATTAGACACACACACACACACATTCCTTACCAGAAAGGGTTAACTAATGTATTTGTCTTGTTGCAGGTTCCTTTTCTCGGTCAGCAGTGAACTTCATGGCAGGCTGCAACACGGCAGTTTCAAACATTGTCATGTCCTTAGTTGTATTTCTTACTTTGGAGTTCATAACCCCTCTCTTTGAGTACACGCCAAATGCAATCCTTGCTTCCATCATCATCTCTGCTGTCATTGGTCTGATTGACTATGACGCCGCAATACTGATTTGGAAAATAGATAAATTTGATTTCATCGCTTGTATGGGGGCATTCCTTGGTGTGGTTTTTGTCTCTGTTGAGATTGGTCTTTTGATCGCGGTAAGACAACTGTAATATCCTCAACTAATTTATATGCCCCTTTTAGTTAGTTGGCTGATGATGATGATGCTTCAAATTCTCATAACAGGTCGCAATATCCTTTGCTAAGATTCTGCTGCAAGTGACGAGGCCACGAACCGCCATTCTTGGAAGGGTTCCTAGGACAAATGTATATAGGAATATCCAGCAATACCCAGAAGCAACTAAAGTTCCAGGTGTATTGATCGTTAGGGTTGACTCCGCCATTTATTTTTCGAACTCCAACTATACAAGGGAGAGGTAATTGTTCAGAGTCCCACATTGAAATACAAAATAACATATGGATTTTTAAGATATTGGTTTTGGATGGGTGATTGATGGGCATGTCTTTTTAAGTGTGATTTGATCGATTCTTAAAAATAACATGTGGCAGAATATTGAGATTGTTGATGGATGAGGAAGAGCACCTGAAAGCAGCTGACCTTCCGAGAATTGAGTTTTTAATAGTTGAGATGTCGCGTAAGTTGATGAGAAGAACTGATGAATTTCTACTAGTTGAAACTCTTCCTTACAAAGAGGGGATGCTCTTATCGTCGTTTACATTCTTTTTTTTTGTTGCAGCGGTCACTGACATTGACACTAGCGGCATTCACGCCTTGGAAGAGCTTCTCAGTAGCCTGCAGAAAAGAGACATTAAGGTGCCATACTTCAGTTTATAAAAATTTCTAAAAGAAACCAAACACTACTAAAATACAGACTGTGATTCTATGTTGCAACAACTTACACAAATACCACATGTTAAACCAACAACAGCTGGTTCTGGCAAACCCGGGGCGGGTGGTGATTGACAAACTGCATGCATCTGGCTTTGTCACCCTCATTGGCGAACACAAGATCTTCCTGACAGTAGCTGATGCCGTGCTGACATGTTGCCCAAAACTTCCTGACGTCTAATTCATGCCCAGTCACTACTTCATGGGGCAGTGATCATCAAGAATGTGACTCCTGATAAAACGACGTAGCCCAGATCCAGAATGTGTTCTCATGGTGTCTCTCTGGGGGGGGGGGGGGGGGGGGTNTGACATGAAAGCATTGAACTTGATCCTGTATTTGGATAGTTTAATAAAAACGTCATTTTGAAGTGTTATAACTTATAAGTGCCCAGATGTAGCTGCTATATTCCTGGGGAGCATATCTTTTCAAGTTTTTCAGTTCTATTAAAACACCTCCCAAACACGCTCAACCATAAACAGAGAGAAAACAAAGAGAAATTCCTTCTCTGATCATTCTATGATGAGGGCATTACATAAAGATGTATAAATCGACAATCGCTAACCAAAAGAAACAAGGAAACTATTTCCCTATACAGAATTTGCCAAATATGTTGGCCAATATCTCTTCAGAAAAATCATCTCCACTAATCTGCCCAAGGGCCATAGCAGCTTCTCTTAGATCAACCGTCCAGAGATCAAGGGGAAGCTCCTCCTCCATTGAAGACTTGAGCCTGGTGAGTGCATCTTTGGCCCGAATCAGCTGTTCCCACTGTCTCTGCTTTCCAAAACAAACCGAATGTTTGAGATTAATATCCATTTTAAGACCTATTTGCTGGTTTTGTATTTTTATTTATTTATATTATTACTATTATTCTAGATATGTGATGACTTAACAAACCAGACCTGATTGACTGTCCATTTACGGCCCCCGACAGGGATTTTGTCTTGGACAACAATCTCCGCGATTGCTGCCTCCAGATCTTGTATTCCTTGACCGGTGAGCGCACAGGTAAAGATCATCTTGTTGAAGGAGAAGCCACCAAATGCATCAACCAATTCAGGAGGCCGTGCACAGTCTATTTTGTTGACTACCAAAATCATTGGAGAACTAGACCCACAAGATGCCTGCAAGTTTTAAGAAGGGATACCATTTATTCACTTCATTCTATCAAGCATGAAGTCTGTTATTACATGAAAACAATCATGTGGATAAACCTTATTGCTTTGAATTGTCTCAAGAAGTGTGGCATCCTCTGCAGTCCAACCTTCTGTAGCACTAACTGTCATTACAATTACATCAGCACTTCCAGCAGCCTTTTTGGATCGCTCCACACCTATGAATGAATATGTCAAGAAGACATCAAGGACAATATATCCATATAGTTAATGCAGCCTGGGCAGTGGCGGATCCACTTTTGTGCAGTCTAGGAAAGGCAACAAGAATAACTCGATAGAGTCCCACTAAAGTTAATGCAGGATGTACACTGGGCAGTTGCGGATCCAGCTTTGTGCAGTCTGGTGAAGGCAACAACAAAAACGACAACGAACCTAGTATAATCCCACAAAAGTAGGGCCTGGGAGGGTGTGCATATGCAGACTTTATCCCTACTAGGAAGTAGAGTGAGAGACCCCCAACTCAGATACAAAATTACGAACAAAGAAACCATTGAAGCCCATAGGTATCCAACTACTCCAATCCTAGATCTCCAGGCATTTCTATCTAAGTCCAAGGAAGGCAATTTCAGTATAACTGGTTCCTAAAAGTAATCATCTGTCTTCATTAGGGGCATGGTTCCTATGTTGGGATGATTCTCTACCGCTCAATTGTAGCAGCGCCCACCAAATCTCGTTTTAAAACTATTTGACGTACAAAAAAATAGTAACTTTAAATGAAATTGACTTGATATAACTACACTTACACATTATGATGCAGGAAAGGAAAAAAGAAAAGAAAAAGAAAAAAGGACATACCCATCTTCTCCACAGGATCATTCGTTTGCCTTATGCCGGCTGTATCAAGAAGGATAGCAGGGATACCACAGACAGAAATATTAGCTTCTATCACATCCCTCGTGGTTCCCGCGATATCAGTAACTATTGCTCTCTCACACTGCATGCTTAAAAGGCCAAAGAAAGCTAATGAACTCAAGATTGTAGTTGGATAACCATAAAATTAAACTACAAAAAAAACCAAAACTTTCATAGAGTGTGATGCACAAGTTCATCATAAAATATATTCAACAATAATATACTCAAATCTCACAAATGAGGAATTCAATTAAAAACGAGACATACTTTGCTCCATGCATTAAGCAGACTTGATTTCCCGACATTTGGTCTACCAATAATTGCTATCTGTGACAAGTATGAAAAGGCAATCAAATCAAAAGCATATAAAAGCAAACTAGGATGAGATGTAGGCATAAATATGAGCTTTCGTAGATGTTCTTGAGAAATTTTGTTTAGTTTGAAAAAAATTATGGAGCACTAATGTTTTTATCCAGTGCTAGCATGCTACAGAGTCTTCTACATATACACTTCTTGAGCCCCTTGTCAAAAGATTTTTCAGAGGGCCATTCAGCTTGAACCATATCCATTATCCATTAATCCATGTGTTTGTGTGTTTCACCAAAACATGCCAAGATTAACACTTAACAGGTAAAGGTGTTTTTCCTACACAAGTTTACATAATTTCATCAAACAACCACATCGTTTGCATGAATTCAAAAGACTTTATTAAATTAATGTGGTGTCCTGATTGTGAAAGGAATGGTATTCCACGAGAATGTGTAGGGAGGGAAATAGCTAGTTTTAGTATTAAGCGCAAGTAAACCTGTATTCCAGACTGCAGAAGTTTGTCATAGTTAGCAGTTTCCAGTGCACTATCAATATCTCTCACCATCCCATATATTTTCTCCATCATTACGTTCAAGTTAAGTGGTGGCATCTCATCATCAAAGTCTAAACGGGCTTCAATTTCAGTAAGCAATTCAATGCATTGCATCCTTAAAGATTTGACCAAAGAAGAGAAGCCTCCCTGTGCAACAGAAACAGTCAGTAGGAGAGGCATGAAATAAAAACTGATACAGAGTATGAAATAGATGAACTACAGAAAACACAATCTACACTCATATCAGAACCTGTATTCCTGCTAATGCAGAATCAGCAGCAGCAGTTGACTTAGCTGATACAAGCTTTCCCACATTCTCAGCTTGAGAAAGGTCTAAACGCCCGTTCAAGAATGCACGAAGAGTGAACTCACCTGATATGAAGGAATACAATTAATTTACAACTTGCATTGGCCCCATAAAAGAGTCATGTTTATTAAGTTATTTTTGTCCCAAAAAAATATTCCAATTTGACAAAAGCTCTTTTGCATTAAATTTAATATTTACGACAATACCAAATATAATCCCAACTTTGATGGGGTTTGGGGGTCAAGATGTACACAATCTTACCCCATAAATTCTGAGAGATTGTTTCCATCAGACCATTGATGCATTGCTACATTTACTACCAAAACTACATTGAAAGTAAAAAATGAAAAAAATAACAATAAAAAGCAAAGGAAGGTTTAACGTGTCATTTTGATTTAGTCCATTACTTACTCAAAGCTAGAAAACATTGTCAGTTACAATTATTTTAGCTCCATTGGCATTTCTTGGAAACCACCGAAACCTTTATTTTTAATAAACAAATTAATGTTTTTATAATAGAAACGTGCTACAAATAAATTGATCTTGTACATTTAGTTAAGCAGACAATTAAGGACTCCTTATGTGACCATCTGACAGAAGGGGGCAAGTAATAATACCTTATTTTCTTAGAGTATGTGTTATTGCATATATAGGCACTGTAGAGTTGCAGAATAATTTCAAGAATCACACATTAACTCTCGTCAAGAAGTTTCATGGCTAGTCACAAATTTGATTTGTAAAAAGAAAGGATAAAGTAACAGACTAACCTGGCTCGGCAAGTCTAGCCCCCGCCTCAAGACAAGCCCTCAACACACGGTTCAAGCATACTTCACTCCCATGACACTGAAGCTCTATCACATCTTCTCGAGTGTATGATTTTGGAGCTAGCATGGGAACCATCAAAACCTTTATTTTTAAGTAAAAAAACAAGAATAGTGAATGATAAACCAAACATAGATTTACTGTCTTGAATGCTGAACACGTATGACCACTACTGAGTACTGGAAATTTACAAATCATTTTTAGATTTTTTAAACACTAGCTTCTGCTATAAATGAACGAAAACAAAGACTTCACACTTAAATCCATGGCCTTTCTTAAATTAGAAAATCTATTGCATATTTAAATGATTGAATACTATTTTTAGAGCAAAGTTGCAAAGAGAATAAACAAAACTCACTAAAATGCCTCAAACATTACTTTCTTATAAGCAACTTACATCCAATAAAAAGGTAAATAATCCAGCATAGAAAAATCTGTACCTCATCAATCACATTTCCACAAGAATCAGAAACTAAACCATACTCCACAACATGGCTTTTAGGCCTCCACACAGAGGTACACTCTTTGAACTTCCTCTTTCTCATGGAACGAAAAAGACGGCTAACAATAGAAATAGCAGAAGGCCCTGAAATCCGGACAATCCCAACGGCAGCCGGCGGACCACCCAAGGAGGTGACAACAGCTGCAATGGTGCTTGAATTGGCAATGATGTGGTCAGAAGGGTTTACCTTTCCAGACACCCACACCCTCTCATCTTTATTCATCACCATAGTGTGATCATTAGTATTCTCTGCATTCAAAAAAATCAAAACTTCAGAAACATAACAAATATATGTAAGCATGGGTTACATTCTTGAATAAGAAAAAAATGGCATTACCTTCCGACGTGGCATGGAGCTTGGGAATGGAAGAAAATAAAAGAGAGAGATTTGGGGGTAACCGGATTGAGAGTTTTCTAGAGAGGCCTGAGGGTAGCAAAGGGAGGCGATGCAAGTGAGTAAATAGTGAAACACGGAATGGATGAAGCATAACCATTGTTGTTGTTCTCTTGCTGGCTTTAAATATTTAAATGATTCTTCTATAAGATGTTGGCACAAAAATATCCGGGTCACTGAAACAAGGAAGCTATCCTAGCGGATGTAATTTGGACAGATAATATCTTTTCAGCCAAGCCCTAACCAACGTTTTTCAAATTAAAAAAAAACAGTTAATACATTAAATCATGTAATCTTAACTAACCCCTTACGATTTCTGTGGGAAAAAAACACAATTTTCAACAATCAACTAAAAATCATATAGGAATAATCTTAACAAACCCCAAACTAAAAATCATGTAATCTTAGTTTACAAGTATTGCACAAAATAACAGATAGAAGTTTGATACCTCTACTGAGTGAAATCCATGAAACTACAACTGAAAGAAGTAAATTAAGAAAAGAGCTCCCCAGTCCGAGATTATTATAATGCAAAAATCAAGAACAGTGCTTTAACACTGCTAAAAGTGGTAGAGAATTGATCTGTATTCCTACTGGATTTGCTGTACCATTCTACTACTCCAATATGCATAACGAAATCAATCAACTAAATTGAACTACAAAGTCATAAATTTTAATTATGTCAACTGATTTCTCTTACATTGTTCTTTGGTATTCGTAAATATGACCTAGCATTGCACGTTAATTAAACCAAATTACACGAACAATTTCTTGACTATCCAGATGCTAATGTAAACCGAGAAAAAAACTTACTCCATTATCCATTGCCTGAGCAGTCAAATGATCCACAAGAACACAAGAAACCAAAATAAAATTAGAACAGTGAATAATACATAGAGAGTTTCCTTTCCCTTCCTTTGTGTTTGGTTCCGGTTGGACAGTGACCCGTAGTGGCGGATCCAGGATTGTGAATGACTGGGGGCAGTATAGCAAAGCGGGGGTTCGGGGGCAGACCCCCCGATTTTTTTTTTAAATGTACTTTATATCATGATGAAAAAATTAATTTTATATCAAACAAATTTAAAATAAGAAAAACAAAATATTTTAAAATTAGTAAAATTATACTTCATCCGTCCCAATTTAATTTATAGCGCATGTTTCGGTTTACGATGTTTGACTGAAAATCATGGCCACGCGGTTGACATGGTCCTCTAATCAAATATTTTCTTCTTATTTCATCTCTTTGATTAGGGTGATACTCTAAAATCTTTTTTCTGTTTGAAGGATCCCACGGAAGATCACTTAAATCTATTTCTTTAGCTATTGAAGATACAGCCAGAATCATGTGTTGTCGGTGTTGAGGGGGACTTCCGTTTAAAAAACTTCTCCATTATCTAAAAACATAAAATGAAATATACTTTTTTACTAAATCTATGTCCAAAAATTAGAGAAAATTATTTAAATATTTCAATTGAGAATTAATATATTTTTAGAAACTAGAGTCATCAATTCATATGTTTTGGGACAATTATAAATTATAATTAATAATAATCAAGAATTCAACATTAGAAACAATTTCATCAAATATAAAATTGAAATATAAAAACAAATTATTCAAAAGGTTTCACAAATTACACATAAATCTAATTTTCAGATTTACCTGATTATTTAGTTCATAATTTAAAAAGGAGACAATTATTTGGAAATACCTGGTGCCTGGTAGCTGGTGCTCGACTGCTCGGTGCTGCTCGACGGCTACGCGTCGGACGTTGCTCCAGCGTTTTATGTGCACTAGAACGTTGCTCCAGCGTTGTCCGCACACATCATACCAATTTGTTCAGAGTGATCTTTGAATTTGGTTTCTTTCAATTTGGTTCAAGTCAGCAACCGCCCATCAAGTCTTCCGCCGCCGCATCCTTTGCAATTGACTCTTTGAAGCCGCCACGTCAGTTCCAAGTCTTCCGCCGCTGCCAATTTCAGGGGGGGGGGAGGGGTGCTTGGTGTTCCTGCAAATTTAATGGTGTTTGTCCATTTTGGATAGTGGTTAATAGAATTGGGTTGTTTTGCTTTGTTGGTACTCCAATCAAGTTTTTTAATGGGGATATGTTAGGGTACACCAAAAAGTGTATCCCAAATGTACACCACTCTCCTACTAACTTTCATTTTATTTTGTTTTTATTTTTAAATTTTTTTAAAAATTTCTTGCCTTTTTTGTGTGGTGATTGAAGGTGGGGATGTTTGGGGTACACTTTTGGTGTACCCCTAGCATTTTCCTTTTTGATGTCATGGTATTTGGTTGTATTTTACTCCCGGTACCATTTTAAATTACTTGTTTACCTTTTCTTTCTGTTCCAAAATAAGTTATCTCTTAGTTGTTTTCTTACTCTTTTAAAAATAAAATATCTAAACTACCCCTAAAATAAGTCATCCTTCTTCACCTTATCCTCTCATTCATCGTCACCCCTCCTAAAAAGTAATGACAATTTCGAAAAATCAACTATATTTTTTATTTTTTTATTAAATATGTCCAAAAGTCAAAACAGACAATTTAAAGCAGGATGGAGGGAGTACATTTTTACTCAATTCGTTTCAATTTATATTGCAGTATGTTTAACAGACAATTTAATTTGAGATAAAGTAAGTACTCCGTATTAATTTCGTATGTTTGATCGCAGCTACTTGTATGTTCAACATGTCAATTCGTAGATTAGTCGCACCTCCGACACCTAACAATCTGTATGTTTGTTAGTCGTCCTTCACGAGAGTTATTTGATATTCATTTTGTCCCGTCACTTTCATTCTTTATTATCACAGCAAATCAAGTTTAATGAAAATTATTTACTCTTGTTAAAGTTTCAGTTGTTTTCTAGTAATAGTTGTTTTATTATCCAAATTTAATATTGGTGTTCCATATGGGAGTGTTAGAGAATGTATTAAGGGTTCATTAATGGGCTGAGATAATAGACTCGTAATAATATCATGATCTTTTGGCTATTATAAATTCTTAATACATTCTCTAACACTCCCATATGGAACAACCTAAATAATTCAATATAGTTGAGTTATCAAATTGACTATAAATAATTATAAGTGAATGATGTGTTGAGATTTACAAAGTATTTAGTTTTGTGTTATATTTCAAAATTGGGTACAACCCATTAAATCACACATGTGTAGAGTGTTTACATATGAAGTTGTTAAATTTGTTCTCAACGGGGTATTGGCAGCATTGCAATTAGACTTTGAGTGAATAGAGTGTTTATCACATGTTGGATAAAATTATTTGTTAATATGACACAATATAACTATAATTACTCGATCCGTTCAATATAAATTTTATTTTTAATTGTCCTTAAATAAAGATTTTATTCCTTTTGAAAATAAATGATCCACATTAATTATCTTCAATCTGCATAAATCAAGACCATTTTTTCAAATTTTATTAAACAACATAAAAAATAATGTAGGCAGTATAATGTAAATTTATTAAGGAGAAATTTTTCAGAATAATTTTAACTTTACACAATCTTTCAAAAATAATCACATATTTCATTATGATGAAAAATAATCTTAGCTTTATTGAAACGACATGTTTTACGCAACAAAATGAAAATTCAATTTTTTTTTATGAATTTTTGTTTTTAATTTATGTTTTAAAAATTTTATTTAAAATTTTAAAACAACTTTCTACCTCCATCATTTCATTTCCTTTTTTTAAAGATTAGTATTAGATTAGAAAAAATTAACAAAATAGATATAAAAATAATGAAAATGAGAAAAATAACTAAAATCATACAAAATTAATGAAATAAATAAGATAATCAATAGAAACTAACCAGAAACTGGTAAGTAATAAAATATGAATATGCGGAGTGGTGAATTTTAACATTTTAAGCACAATACATAGTATTAATGTCCGTCTTCCACTTATTTGTTAAGAAATATTATCTAAAATAACCCTAACTTTAACTGTTTTTTTAAATAAGAAATGGTAAATTAATACTCTCTATTATTCATAAAATGTCTCAACTCCTTATATTTTTATGTTATTTCTCACCAATTTGAGTTTAATTTCTATTGATTATCCTATTTATTTCATTAATTTTGCATGTCTTTAGTTATTTTCTCATTTTTGTTATTTTTATATCTATTTTTTATTTTTCTAAGGCAAGACTAATTTTTAAAAAATGAAAAAGAAATGAAGAAAGAAGTTTATTTTTTAAATTTAAATGAAAATTTCAAAAAACTTTAAAAATGAGAATTCATAAAAAACAATTTCAACTTTCATTTTGTTACACAAAATAGGTCATTTCTGTTAACACGTCGTTGACAACTTAACATCAATCCAAAACTTACAAATTTTAGTAAAATTAGAATTATTATGCATCACAGTGCAAAACAGAATTATTTTTAAAAGACTGAGTAAAGTTGAGATTATTTTAGATAATTTTTTCTATTTATTAAAATTACGTTTATTGTAAAATATAGTTTTTATATATTAAACTTTTATAGCATTTAATTATTAAAATTTATATTTGTTTTTTAAAAACATATTACACAGTTTTACCAAAAATTCAAATTGTGATAACCTTTTTGAGTTTTACCCTGAACTATTGAAAAAATAAATTTAGTTATAATGTAAATTTAGTAAAATTGAATTTATCTTAAGATATAATTTTGAAATATTATTTTTTATAATATCTAATTATTTTTAAACTATATTTAATTTATTGTCAAATATGTCACAATTTGACTAAAAAATGTATCATGCTAGGGTGCCACCACATGGGTGCACCCATGCTTCGCACAGACAATAATTGTCTGTGTCGCACAGACAATTATCGTCTGTGTTTGTTTGTGCGAAGCATGAGTGCAACCATGTGTTTAGCATTTTCCAAAAAATTGAGACCTAAGACCTAAGGTTAGAAAATACTCCGTGCAAAGCTTCCTTATTTCCTCGATATCAGCACAGTCGAACCTGGATCTGCGCTCCGTCGCGGCTACGCCTTGCCGCCGCTAACTCTGCCAGAGTCTGCGCACCTTCGCGGCTACGGCTTGCCGCCACTAACTCCGCCATCAACCTAACTACCATTCCAACTTCTACAGGTATCTATACTTTGATATAGTTGAAATTTTAAATGCTTAATGTTTTAAATGTGTAATTGATTGATTTATTGTTGTTTCCAACTAGTAATTGATGAAAATTGCATATTTTTAATTGGTCTTTCATCTTTGGATTCTTATTTTGAATGCTTTTTATGTGTTCAATTAAGAGAAAGTTTTTCTCAATTTTTAAAAATAGAAAAAGAAAATGAATTTTGTACAACTAATAGAGTAATTTTGTATAGTCACTAGATTTTAACCGTGCGTTGCATGAATATAATTAACTTTAAAATATATTCTCATTTTGTTGTTTTAATGTAACAAATGCTACTCTGTATTATTTAAAGGGAAAATAAAGTCAGTGACTTTGGTCTTAGGACGGAAAGAATATAAACCACCACAAAGATTTTATTAAAGCAAGAAATTTTGTTAAAAAAATAAAAGGTAAGCCACAATACAGTAGAAGGGGAGAAAACTCCTAAGAGGTAAGCCACAATATAATATAAGGGTAATTCAGAGTACAATGGAAAGAGAAATGAGTGAATGACAAAGGTCTAGAGATCATTCCCGGATAAATCCATGGCAGAGGTCCTCGTAATAAAAATCATAGAAGGGTTTGTTTGGTCATGAAATGCGTGCTCCAATTTCCTTCCATCACCATCTACTAATCATCTAATTCTGTTGGGATTGATGTAATAGCATGATGAGATCCATCCAAACTAAAGAGAGCGTTTTGGTGTGGTGTAATAATAAGTGCATAAATTAGGGGTATATTCACGAGATAAGAGTCAACAAAAATGAAATCACTCTTTTTAAACAATGCCTAAGTACTCACTTTTTATCAATATTTTAAAGAACATTTCATCAGTGAATTAGACATTACCAATGTATGACGTTGTAAAAATATCAACTTAGGAGTCCCGACATGACACCCCAAAGGTACTGATGAACGTCAGTTTGCTAAAGCTAAAGCAATAAAAAGATTAATAGCCTTGCTTGCTTGTGATGAACTTATCCAAATATTGCCCAAAGGTTCCCTTCTTAATTGACTCTCCCATGGAGCAGAAGAATCCCATATATCAGTGGGTAGTCATTCCCACTTTTAAACTTCAAATTCATCATATGCCTAGAAGTTGAACTTAGTTATTCATATATTGAGAATTTAAATATGAAAATGAAGATCAAGCAACAAAAAAATTGGGAACAATGATGAAAGAAGAGAGATATAAGACTCCACTGGAGTACCTTGAAATAAAGGCTAGAGATTTTATTCCTTACCTTCCCACTATGTAAACTAATTCCTGCCAATGCCAAAATGATTAAATCTGTCGCTACCACAACATACTGGAAATTCATCAAAACCAACATCTAAGTCTCATACTCACATTGCAAACAATATCGTCATTCAAGAAAATTGAACTCAATCACATTGCCTATCTCTTAGCAGCTTGACTCTTTGTCTACCTGCAATACTTCAAACACATAATAACATGAAATAGGTTGAACGATGCGACCAAAGAATACCCATAGGAATTTGGTGGGATAGAATAGGAAAAAGAACTAATGGTAGAAAATGGCAGAAGGATGTTCCATTGATAAACCCAAATATTTTAATTTAAAAAAAGAAAAGAAAAAAGGGATAAAAAACCATTTTTAAAAAAGATTTAGTTTCCATTTCTATATAAAGTGAGGTTATTATTGCAAATCTAACAACTTAAAGAGAAAAAACTGAGTAAAAAAGATTCTAAAAAAGAAATATATTCAAAAATTGATTTCAATTATGGATTAAAAAGCCAATCAAATTGCATATTCAAATTTAAATATAAAACTACAAAAGAAGTGTAATTTTTGAACAATTACAATAATAAAGATTCTAATAATATCATTACTCTAGTGTTTTTTA